AGTGACAGCGGAGTCCTTGGGAAAAGAGGAGAGTGGCCTGGGAGGAACCAGCCCTGCCCACACTTTGATATCAGACTCTCGGCCTCTAGAACTGTGAGAAGCTAAGTCTCTGTGGCTTAGGCCGCCCAGCCTGCGGTATTTGCTTCTGCAGCCCTAGAAAACTAATAGGATGCACCAGGCAGCGTGGCAGGACCAGGAAGGAGGAGATGGATTTGGGTCCCTTGGGGGACTGGTGTGCCCAGCACACAGTAGGCGCTCAGGAGACATCTGTTGAGTAAGGTTCGATTCAGCATGAGAGGAGCCAGAAAGGGGGGACTGGGCATCCCAGAGGGGGCAGGACAAGCCTGATGGGGCCGGGCAGAGGGCAGTGGGAGAGAGATCTCTAACCTCCAACACTGCCCAGCGCCCCCGGCACAGGCACAGAGCGTGTTCACCCCTCAACTGCACTCAGGCCTCCGCGTGGCCCGGGACACCTCCATATCCCACATTTACTGAAAAAGAAACCAAGGCTCTGGCAAGGGGCAGGGGGTCCTTTAGGACCTCCAGGAGGGCACTCTGCAGGATGGGTGGCTGGAGCATGGGGGAGAAGGGGGGGCCACTGAGAACAACCCGGAGCTGGGACCCGGGAGCTCCCAAGGCTTGGGGGTTTGGGTTGCTTTGCTCGCCTTTCATTTCGTTTAGTTCCAAAGTGACTGAACCTGAGCAGGCAGGGAAGCTTGGCCCTCAGCCCCTCTCAGATGGAGCAAAGGCTGAAAGCAAGGGCGCTCAGGGGTCAAGATGACCCACAACTTCTCTGATTTCTAAAGAAAAGAGTAGTGGAAACCGGCTCAGGCCTCTCTGGTGCTGGAAGAGACATTTCTGGGTGGAGAATGTCCAACCCATAAATTCCCCATGTTTCGAATTCAAAGGAGGCCTGTATGGGGCCGGGAAGTTTGCATAACCTCTCACATCACAGGACTTCCTGCTTGCGGTGGCCTCCTGACAGGCTTGTCATCTGGGCCAGGGTTCAGAGATGGGCTGAAGCATCTGAGGTATCCGAATGGGTCTGAAGTCAGTCTGAGGCTCGGAGCCATGGAATCTGCTGGATCAAAGAGCGAAAAATTAAAATATATACATATATATATTTTTATATATATAAAATGTTGTGACAAAAATGTTTCGGGAATGTGTACCCAGGATGCTGGGCCACAGCACAAGGACATGGGCAGGGTGCTGCAGGGGGACAGTGGTGTCGTGGCCTCTCTGTACCCCACCTCCTTGCTCACACACCAGCCTGGGTGTCTCCCGGGGGAATGTGCCACAGTCTCTCCTCTTTCCTGCACTTGTCCCTCTTCAGAACTGGCCACACCAAAGTCAGCATCTTTGAAGTGGAGACTTGTTTATAAATCCAAGACTTTTTTATTTTATTTTTTCCCAGAATGTTTTGGGGCCTCTGTAGATTGTTATTTTAACTCTTTTCCCCAGATGTTCTAGCCATATTTGGGCAAGACAAGAGACTGGAGGACTCTTTGTATGTTTTTTTTTTCTTTTTTTCATGAGAAATTGCAGTATCTGAGAGAAGACAGCAGTGCCTGGGGTCTTCTCCCTCTCCCTCTCGTGGGTGATTCTGGGCTGAGCCTTTGTGGTCAACTTGGCCGCTCCCTATTTATGTCCACATTCACAAACAATCGTTGGATGAGAAATGTCAGCCCATAAAAATTCTTGGAGGAAACTCCCACCGCCTTGCCCAAGAGATCACTATCTCTGGGGCAGTGACTTTCTGTCCCCCAGCGATAGGGATCTGACCATACACTCCATATGTCCGGGCTCCAGTGACTGGACCCCTCCCCATGTCACAGAGGGGAAACACGTCCAGAGACGAGCATGCTCCAGAGAGCATGAGTTTTTTTTTTTAAGATTTTATTTATTTATTCATGAGAGACACACAGAGAGAGGCAGAAGCAGGGACATAGGCAGAGGGAGAAGTAGGGTCCCTGCAGGGAGCAGGATGAGGACTCAATCCCAGGACCCCAGAATCACAACCTGAGCTGAAGGCAGATGCTGAGCCACCCAGATGTCCCCAGGATGTTTGGTTTGTAAAAACACTCTTACTTGGGCAAATTTCAAACTATAGACACATTTCAAGAATAATATAATGAATATCCATATATATATATATATTTTATTTTTATTTTTTACCAATTGTTAACAGGCAGAGTTAACATCACAGAGAAAGATGATGTGACATCTGCTTTCTCTCTTACTTTTTCTCTCTGACTTCCTCATATACTTGTGCTAGTTTCAGATACGGTGACATTGTATGCACAGTACTCCAGCACACGTCTCCTTCCACGTAACCACCATACCACAACCACATTCAGGAAACTGAAGGTCTACTCTGTGTTATTATCCAGCACACATCCCATAATCCAGATTTCTCTCATTGTTCTGCTAACTACAAGGGGGCTCATTATAGGTTGGGTTTTTAAAATATTTTATTTGTTTATTTGAGAGACAGAGACAGAGAAAGCACAAGCAGGGGGAGCAGCAGGGTGAGAGGGAGAAGCGGACTTCCCGCCAAGCAGGGAGCCCGATGCAGGGCTCCATCCCAGGACCCTGAGATCACGACCTGAGTCGGAACCAAGGATCAGCCATTCAACCATTCAACTGACTAAACCAATCAGGTGTCCCTACAGGTTGCTTTTATCCAACAATTAATCAAGGGGCACAAGGAGCAGTGAGCTGTTATGTCTTCTTCAACCTACGACAGTTCTCAGCCTTTTGTTTTGTTTGCCTCTGCCTTTGTGGATCTGAGCATTTTCAAAGCATCCAGACCAGTTGGTTTGCAGAAAGTCCCTCAATTTGGATCTGTCCGATTGTTTCTTCTTGTTTAGATTTGGGTTAAAGTTTTTGGATGGGAGCACCACATAGATGGTCCCAAGCCCTTCTCAGAGGCCCGACCCCAGGAAGCACATGAGGTCAGCCCACCCCATTCCTGGTAACCTTAGGTTCAATTACTTCACTAACTTGACGCCCCCAGATTCCCACACATCTTGTTCCTTAAAAATCTTTCATCAGTGGTTTTAACATTGAGAGGATTCTTTCCCGTAATCCATTATTACCAGGAGGTTTGCAAATGACGATTTTTGTTTTGTCATTCCTTGTACATTTATTCGTTTTCTTCTTTGAAGGAAAATGTTCTCTTTTGCAACTTTTCTTAAAGTGCCAGTATTGACTCATGGATTCGTGTTTCACCCAATGGGCTAAATATGTTGCTTCCACTATTTATTTTGTGCACAAACTTTCCATTGGGCTGCTGGAAAGTCTGGGCCAGTACCTTGAACATAACTCCATTATCTTCCAATACTCCTCCAGATTCTAGGATCCTCTTGACATTCCCCATCCCAGCCCCAGAGTCACCTAAAAGGCCCAGGTGCCCTTTACTGGGGAATGCTGTTTCAGGATGCAGGGTGCTAAGTGGGCTCCTGTCACTTAGGAGTTACTTCAGTAGGTAGCACTAGGGGGCTGTTATTTTGTCCTAACAATGCTACTAATCCAAAACTCCAGGGGGTATCTGGGGTTTGGGGGGTGTCTACCTTCAGCTCAGGTCATGAACCCAGGGCCCAGATGGAGCCCCTGGACTGTGCGGGGGGGGGGGGGAGGTCCCTGCTCAGCCGGGCGTCTGCTCCTCTCTCTCACTTTGCCCCTTCCCCTGCTCATGTGCTTTTGAGCAGCCGGCTCTCAAATAAATAAATGAAAAATCTTTAAAAAGTCCCCATACCTCGAGAGTTCTTCTTCCTCCCTTCCAAATCTCCTTCATCCCATAGTGAGGACCTGGGTCCTGACCCCAGTTCTAGGATACACCCAGTTGCTGCAGAACTGCTCCGCCCTCCCCTCTGCCTCACTCCTGCGGAACAGGGTTCTGCAGGAGTTCCCTTTGCCCTCAGAAAGCTCTCTCTAAGGGAGTGTAGTCAGACAAGCTTTCCAGTCCCTTAGACACTTTTTTTTTTTTTTGCACAGGATTGTGTCTGAATTCCTTACTTTCTGTTGGTTTCTAATTCTAGTTTTTTCCCATCCTTGTTGACTTATGTCTTAAATGTAAAATATAGTATTTAAGATACTCTTGCAGAAAACTACCATTCCTGACTCTGGAAGGAACCATCTAGACCAGGTGAAGCCCACAGCACTGTTTTCAAACGCTCCATGGGAAGCAGGCCTTTTGAAATAAATAGCCCAGGCTGGGCAGCAGGACTGTGCTCCTCCAATCTGGGCGTTTCGGGAGTCCCTGAGGAGCCCTGGCCTTGCACCTGTGACCACAAAGGGTCACCCCGAGGACGCCTGGGTGGTTCAGTGGTTTAGCGCCTGCCTTTGGCCCAGGCATGATCCCAGGGTCCTGGGATCGAGTCCCATATCGGGCTCCCTGTGTAGAGCCTGCTTCTCCCTCTGCCTGTGTCTCTGCCTCTCTCTCTGTGTCTCTTATGAATAAATAAATAAAATCTTTAAACAACAACAACAACAACAACAACAAAACAAAGGGTCACCCTGGCGCATCCAGATAGCTCCCAGGCCCGGGACCTCAAGGTTTCCATGACAGCACTTTCTCTGATGAACCTGTTGCAACTATCTCCACCAGAGTCCAGCCAGTACCTGGCACTTAGCAGGGTCTCCATAAATAGCTGTAGGAATTAGCGCCCCGTTTCCCAGTGTGGACACGGCGGCCCAGAGAGGGGATGTCTCGCCCCCCGCCGCCCTCGAGGTCTGATTAGGCTGTGAAAGCGCCGCCTGAGCCTGTGCACACAGTAGGCGCTTCGGTAAAGGCGCGCGGGGTCGAAGGGAGGGAAGGTCCGACAGGTGTGAGTGAGCCTCCGGGGGCACCTCGCGGTCCGGGGGACGGGGGCGGATCGTATGCAAATAGGCCGCGAGGAGCCCGGGGATTGGCCAGCGCGGCCGGGGGGCGGGGCGCGCCGAGGGAGGCCGGGCCGCCAGGTGCGCGGACGCCGAGAGGCGCTGGGCTCCCCGGGCCCCGCAGCCCGCCCGCGCTCCCGCGTCTTGTTCAGGGCGATGCCCCCGCTCTGGGCCCTGCTGGCCCTCGGCGGCCTACGGCTGGGCGTGGGTAAGCGGGGAAGGGACAGAGGGTCGTGCCCCGGGAGGGCGGGCAGCCGGCCCCACGGTCCTGAGCGCAGGGATGGAGCGCAGCCCTGGGAATTCCCTCTGTGCCAAGCCCTGGGCATCGGATATTAATAATAAAGACAGCACTGTTTAATGAGCTCCCTTGGGTGGGGGATTCCAGGGCTCACGGATCAGATTCCTGGGATGGGCGCTGTGACACACACAGGATCTGCGGGGGAGCAGAGAAGGGGCTGGACTAGACCCTGGAGGTGCCGGGACATTTCAGGGGAAGAGGCAGCTGGGCAAGTTCAAGAGAGAGGCAGTGTGGTCTATCCTGGGAACCTCCCCACCAGGGTCCATCAGCCTGGCTGGAGCATGGGATGGGGTGGGGCGTGCTTTGGGGTGAGCCTGGGCACCCAGGGAGGCAGAGCCCAGAGCTTCTGGACTATGATGCCTCTCCAGAGAAGCCGGACTGCGCTGGAGGCCCTTCCAATGCAGTGGGTGAGCCCCAAAAGGGGCCTAGCAGGAGAGCGACAGGGTCAAATGTGCCCGTTAGAGAGCAGAAGACTGGGGAAGGGGAGCTTGTTTCTGGGGTCCAAGTCAAGAGAGTGGAATTCCTAGACTGGGCTGACGGGGTGAAGAGATGCCTGTGGAGGCAGTGGGGTTCTTGGCAACTGACTGTCTGTGTGTGGGGAGAGAGGGCAGTCGTTAGGCCAGACTGCTTGGTTTCTGGAGGGACGGCTGGTAGGGGCAGGGGTGCCACCTGTGTCTGAGACAAATTCTTGAGATGGGCCGCAGGCAGGGTGAGCCCCAGGGCCTGGCACACCCAATAATGGTATGCAGACTGGGGCAGGGGGCAGAGCGTGCCCATGGGTGTGGACAGTTCTACCGGGGGTCAGCACCTGTCCTCCCTGCCTCCTATAGGTGTGAACCTCCAGCCCCAACTGGCCAGCGTGACCTTTGCCACCAACAACCCCACCCTCACTACTGTGGCCTTGGAAAAGCCTCTGTGCATGTTTGACAGCGCGGCGACCCTCAATGGCACCTATGAGATCTACCTCTATGTCCTGGTCAACCTCGGTGAGGGTTTGCTTCCCTTGGGCGGCGCTGAAGGGGGCTTCGGACTGTCTGCGGGGAGGAGGAGAGGGGGCAGCTCGGGGGACGCTCTAGCTCTGTCATTCAGCTACCCCCGGGGACCTCACCGACAGCCACCAGTGCCTGCCGTGTGCCAGCCCTGGGCTGCGTGCTGCCGTCACACATCCGTGCTTGGCCTGGAGAGATGTCGGGCAGGTGGAGAAGTAAAGACAGTGCCAGTCACTGAGCACGTACATCATACTCAGGGCTTCACGTGCCTTGGAGCGAATGTTGACAACCAGCCCGCAAGACAACTGTCCCATCACAGAGCTGATGCCCATCTCAGAGCGAGGGACCTAGGCTCACGGAGACGGGATGGCTCCTAGGAGCTCCCAGGCTGGGAAGCAAACCCAGATCTCTGTGGCCCCTAGTGCTTCCCCGTGCTTCCCCCAGTGGGTAGCAACTGGCGTTGGTGAGGGGAACTATGCACTGGGACCCGCGTGCTCCGGGCCGGCCCCTGCCCGGTCACCAGAGCAATCCTGGGCTTCCCAGGGACCACCTCTTACGTTCCTGGCAGCCAGTCTTTTACAGCAGCTCATTCAGAGCCGTCACCTGGGCTTGTGCCCAATCTGTACACACAGTGGGGTGTTTCTCTCCCATTTCACAGACAGGGGTCCAGAGAGGTAGAATGCGTTGTCCAAAGTCACCCAGCAAGTCAGGAAGCGGCCTAGGACCCAGCATAGGTCTGTGCACCTCCACACTATTCCCCCTGAACCATATGACCCCCCCTTCTCATTTTACAGAAGAGAAGATCTAGGGGCGCCTGGGTGGCGCAGTGGGGGGAGCAACAGACTCTTGGTTTCAGCTCAGGTCATGATCGCAGGGGTGTGAGATCGAGCCCCGTGTTGGGCTCTGTGCTCAGCGCGGAATCTGCTGGAGACTTTCTCCCTCTGCCCCTTGCCACTACACTCGCTCAAGCTCTGTCTCCATAAATAAATAAATCTTAAAAAAGAAGAAGACGATCCAGTGGTCTCAGGGGAGAATGACAGAAGTCTGTTGGAGTAGGAGGACCTGTGAGATCTTACAGGCCTGTAGGAAGAGGGGGTGCTCTTGCCCTAAGTCGGGGGTGCTCTGAGGGAGCCCCTGAGGGACCCCACCCCTGCCTGGGACCCCCAGAGGATGTGCGGCAGTGCTGGGTGACTGGCTGAGTGAGTACCTTTGAGCTGGGGTGGCCTGACTCCTGCCCCTGCCCCTGCCCCTGCAGCCAGCTCCAGGAACGCCTCGGTGCAGGACGGCGCCAGGGCCCCGCTGAGCTCCACGGTCCAGCAGACAGAGGGAGGGAGGACAGGCCCCTATAAGGCCGCGGCCTTTGGCCTGATCCCCTGCAGTGACCTGCCCAGCTTGGACGCCGTGGGGGATGTGGCCCGGGCCTCGGAAATCCTGAACGCGTACCTCGTCAGGGTAGGCGCCAACGGGACCTGCCAGTCAGACCCCAACTTCGGGGGTCTCTGCAACGCGCCCCTGTCAGCAGCCACGGAGTACAGGTGGGTGCGAGAGGCAGCGCTGCCCTGGCCCCGACTCGGGAAGGCCCAGGAGGGGGAGGTGTGCGAGGCCACATGTCTTGTGCCTGGTCTCCTGAAGGGCCGTGTGACCAGGCCAGGACCCCTGGGCTCAGAAGGACCTCTGCTTGGCTGCTTGGCTTAATCCTCTGCTGTTGTCACCTTGAAATTCTTTTTTTTTTTTTTTTAACCAAGGGGCCTGCATTTCCATTTTGTACCCAGCTCTGCAAATCCAGCACCTGGTCCCGGCTCATCACCTGTGGCAGCTCCTTCCCAATCCACTTCATTCCACAGGAACTAGCTGGTCTGGAGAGAGGAGGGGTCCCTGCCTGAAAAGCAGTGGCCCCACATGAATTAGAGCCCCAGCCCCGTTGAAGGCTTTTCCTGCTACCAGCCCATCCTCTGCCTTTTCCTGCCTCCTTCTGACATATCCTCTGTGCCCCCTCTCCCTACCAAAGCACGTCCCTGATTCTTTTCCACACTTGTTTCTTCTCCATGCGGAGCTGGGGACTCAGCCCTGATCCATGGCCGTGGGGTCCCGCCTGTGCCAGAGCCTCGGGTACCGCCACTCCTGTAACCATGGAAGCACCCAGGCCCGAGACTCTGCACCTGCCAGGTGCGCTCGGGGCCCAGACCACCCTGCCTGCCATCCTGTCAGAGGGCTGGCGTCTCCTTCGGCCTCGGCCACAGGGCTGGACAGAAGCCTCGGTGTCCTCTCCCCTACCTCCAACCTTGTTCTTAATGAGGGAAACCCCCCGCCTTCCACCTACATCCCTGAGCCTCCTACCTGGGGAACTCAAGGCACATATCCTGGCCTCTGGAATTCTCTTCAAACCCAGAGAAATAGGAGATTAAGCAAAACACTGGAGGTTGTAGAGATTTTAAGGGTCATCTTTTTTTTTTTTTTTAACATCATACAAGAGGCTGTCAATTTTTTAGTTCTCAGACTATCCATCATTTTTAGCTGACCGTGTAGGAGGCCTCAGGTGGGCTCTGGAAATTTTGTGCTGATCTTTCATTATGGTTAGTGGCACTGGATTGGAATTTCTATATAAATGTGTAGTCCTGTCTCAAGGCAGTTGGGTTGGGAATGAATATTATTCCTTCTTTTGTTTGTTTTTTAAGTCCCTTTTGTGATACCAAGGACCAGGCTGGGAGGAAGGCACGAACGCCATGAGGACAAATGGGTCAGCCAAAATGCTACACTCGTCCTGTAGATAATAGAGAAACAGGGGGGCCCCGGAGGGCGAGCTGCGAGAAGGGCCACTGACCCTGAAGGCTTTGTGGAAAAAGTCCAGGGGCAGGAGTAGGGGGCAAGGGCCCCAATGCCAAGTCCAGCACTGTCCTGTGGCCCGGAGCCCACCTTGTAGCCATCTATACTTCCATCTCCTAGAAGGTCCTCCTCTGCCCCCCCAACCCCATCCTGATCCCTCCACCTGCCTCTGGCCGGGGCGCACGGGATGCTTAGACGTCCCCCTCTCTCTGTCTCCTTGCAGGTTCAAGTACGTCCTTGTCAATATGTCCACGGGCTTGGTGCAGGACCAGACCCTGTGGTCCGACCCCATCCGCACCAACCGGCGTGAGTGGCAGGGCTGGGCTGGGGGGTGACCCTCAGGGGGACGTGGGGCACACCCTCAGGCCGTCGCTCAGCAAAGTACCCCCAGACACAGGCAGGCTAGTGGACTGATGAGGAAAAGGCAACCTAAAGTGGTTTGACCCGAGACCCCCCTGCCTGCCCTTGTCTCCCTCCCCTGGGGCCAGGTGTCGGCAGAGGCAGGGGAAGGATGGGCTGGCATGATGGCAGGACCATAGTCAAGGCTTTTGTCTCCAAGGGGCAGGGGGTCTATCCCGCATTTCCATCCTAGCCTGCCCCTTTGTGGAGACCTCACAGCCACGTCAGATGGTTCCAGATGGTTCCAGATGGGTCCGGAGGCGAGGAGTTGGTGCAGGGGGCGAGCAGGGGAGGCAGCCAGAGTGCCGCCCACCTCTCCACCCTGTTCTCTGGAGACTCGGCAGGCCTCCTAAAGGCCAGGGAGCTCAGGGGCCCAGGCGGCGGCCTGTGGTCCTGCCCAGTCCCTCCTCAAGCCTCCATCCGGGTTCTCAACATGCATCTGAGGTTTAGACACAGAATCGTGTCTGCTGAAGCAGAGGGGCAGCGGAGGAGATTTCCCAGGGTAATCTTGACAGCACCTGACCCTAACGTTAGAGCCCCGGCCCCCACACCTTGGTGCCCAAGTTGACGCTTGTCAGCTTGTCAGCTCAGCATTAAGCCTCCTCAGACCCCCAACCCCCTCGGTAAGCTTCCAGGGCCTGCAGTGGCTCAGAAAGCTTGCTTGAGGTCACAGGGCTAGGGTTGGGTGTGGCTGGGGTGGCCCCCCACCCATCCTTCCCATGGCACATCAGTGCATCGAAGTCTCCCTGCCCTGGGACCGAGGGTGCTGAGTTCAAGCCCAGCCCCTGCATCTCACCGCTCTGTGAACCCGTCAGGACCTCAGTCTCCACATCTGAGAAGTGGGGAGAAAAGCCCTTGCTCTGCATCCCCTCAGGGATTCTTGGAGCAATGCAGACAGAAGCGCTAGGCCCAGCTCTTCTTGGGCAGGGCAGGAGGTCAGCTTGGGACAGCGTGCCCTCTGGAACCACCCAGCCCCGTAGACTTGGGTCTGGGGTCCGGGTGCCCTTGAATAGGAGCCCAGCCCCCCTCGGCTGCGGTGAGCGATCTGCAGAGCAGGGGTCTTGTCAGGTGTGCGAGGGACAGTGGCTGCGAAGCGGCCGGCTCGCAGGAGGACCTATGAAGAGTTCGTGTAGTTCCAAAGGGTGATGCGGGCCAGAGCCGAGGGGAAACTGAGGTGCACTTGGCCCCTTAGCCCGGGCCCTTGTTCTGTCCTGAATCGCTTATAATCTGCGTCCCTTCCATTTCACCAGAAGGGTTTAGTTTGTAATTGAAAATTACGCAGAAAGACAATTAGGGAGAAAGGAGACACGCCAGGGAGGGGCAAGCAAGGGGACTGCATCTCGGGGCTGTGCGGGGGGGGGACACAGACATTGACCAGGGTCCCCCTTCATCCCGAGACCCGTGGCTGCCCTGCCGGGTGGGGGGGGGCGCGTGTGTCCCTGGGAGAAGGCTGAGGGGTGCTGTGTCTGGGGACTAAGTGGGCCCATGTCCTGTTAGCCACCCCGTATGTGGCGATCGACACGTGGCCGGGCCGGCGGAGCGGGGGCATGATCGTCATCACGTCCATCCTGGGCTCCCTGCCCTTCTTCCTGCTGGTCGCCTTTGCCGGCGCCGTTGTCCTCAGCCTTTTGTGAGTACCTGCTGGCTGGAGGCCCGGACTGGGGGCACTGGGGGCACTGGGCACACTCCACCCACAGCGTCTTCTGAGGTGGGGGAGGGGGGAGCCCAGAAGGCAAGGGAGCCGCCTTCCACCCTGGGCTGGGGTGGGGTCCAGTGAGAGGGGAGCAGCATTCTGGGGTGTCCACGGTAGAGTCATTCAGCCGGGCGGGGGGACCCAGCAGCGGGACTTTGTGGGCAGGTCGCAGCTCCCACACGTCTCCCATGCCTCAATGTCCCCATCTGGGAAAGGGGGGTGCTAAAAACCATTATCCTCCCTGTGGAGTCATGACCTGTCAGCGGCATAATCCCCACGGAGTTTGTAGGGCGGCACCTGGATACTCCACAAGTATTAGGGTTCATTGTCATAATCCACCCCCTGGCTAGACTCGTGGGGAAACTGAGGCCAGAACAGGGGAAGGGTGGCCCCGGGTCACATGGCCAGTTAAAACAGCTGGGACCGGAGCCTGGGCTCCTGGTGCTACCGACAGCCCTGACGTGTGTCCGTTTGGATCAGGACTGGAGGTCCCCTGTGGGTGTCTGGAGCAGCTAACAGGCTGCCTGGTGGGAGGTCAGGTGTGCACACGATCCACCAATCCTGGGCGGGTGGCACGGGGCTGAAGCGAGGCGCCAGCAGGTGCCATGGGAATCCAGAGAAGGCTGAGGAAATCCTGCCGGGACCACCAGGGTGGGCTTCCTGGAGGAAGAAGCAGCAGGAGCGAGGTCTCTTCGGGACAGAGATGACTCTTAAAGTCCTATGACTTGTCAAGTCCTCTCAGCGAGAGGGAGGGAGCCCCCGGGAGGCTTTGGAGATGGAGAGGGGTGCCTGTCCCGTGTGGGTGGGGGGAGCAGATGGAAAAGCTCGGAGTAGGTGAAGTTCAATGGATGCAGAAATTAGCCGGGTGGAAAAAGCCACGGGGGCTGGAGGGGGGTGGGGGATGGAGTCAGGGGCAGGGAACTTGCAAATCAGGTGCCCCCCCCCCTTAAGTCAATAAAAACACAAACAATAGGTAAGATTAGCCGCCAGGAGTCTGGTCTGTCTGGCCTGGGAGCCGGCAGGACGGGGTCTTGTCCCTCCCTCCTTTTGGGCAACGGGTTAATCTGGCACCAAAGGTCCTGTTACCTGATGAGGGCCTGGCTCCTCCACTGAGCCCTCCTCCATCCCCCGCCCCCCGCCAGCTCCACCCAAGTGCCCACGGTTGCCCCAGACACTCTCAGCCCTTCCTCTCACATGCCTGGAATGCCTTTCTCCACCCACTCTCCGCAGGCTATGCACGGTCCCCTCCTCCAGGAAGCCTTCTGGGGGCTCCCACCCCAGACTTGTCCATTCCATCTGGTCATTCTTTGCTGTGGCCCGTTTCCCCACACAGTCGTAGCTCTTTGGGGATTTGGATCACGGCCTCCACCGTGTCCAGCTCCTGCTAAGATCTGTAGACTGTTCACCCAGTTGCAAAGGGTGCCCCCCGCCCCCTGCACTCCCGCATCTCAGGGCTTGGTGCACTGTGAGTGCTCTGCAAACACTGGTCTACTGAGTGCACGCCTGGGGTGACGCGGGTGAAAACAGCGTCTAGGGCAAAGGGCTCCGGCCAGCCGGAGGGGTTTAGGGTTGCTCTCTGCGCCCCTAACCCTCGCCCTCTCCATCTGCTCGGTCAGGGACACGGGCAGCTCTGACCAGGAAACGAGGACGCACGACTCCCAGATCACGCAGGAGGCCGTCCCCCGGTCCCTGGGGACCTCAGAGGCTGTGTACACGTCTGTGAACCGGGGGCCGCCGCTGGACAGGGCTGAGGTGTACACCAGCAAGCTGCAGGACTGAGCCCGGGCTCCTCGCCTAGGGGGCTGCGGGCAGAAGGTGCCTGCGTCCTGACCCCAGCCTCGGAGAAACAGGGCATGTTGGTCCTACGTGCAGGAAGGCCTCTAATAAAATCTCCCCAAGATTCTGAGTTCAATAGAGATTTGCCGAGTGAATGAATGAGAGGATAAAGGAATGAATGAATGAGCCAATGTCATAGGGAGGGGTTGGATTGTATCACTGGGGGGCGGAGCGCGGGTTCATTTGCAGTCCTGGAGGTGGGGAGGGTTAGGAAAACCAGGGATGGGCAGCCCCCAGGGGCGGGGTGGGGGCAGCAGTGTAGCGCTGCCTTCTGCCCGGGGCCTGATCCTGGAGTCCCGGGATCAGTCCCGGGATCGAGTTCCCTTCGGGCTCCCTGCACGGAGCCTGCTTCTCCCTCAGCCCGTGTCTCTGCCTCTCTCTCTGTGTCTCATGGATAAATAAATAAAATCTTAAAAAAAAAAGGGGGGGCAGGGGGAAACCAGGGCTGTCAGGCCTGGAACATCTAGATGTGAGAACCTGCCCACCCCTGCCCCTGGGAGGGGGAGGGTCCTGACAGGCAACATGCTCAGCACGTGTTTGGGGTTCACTGGCCATGAGGAACTGGAAGCCGATCTGGGCCCCCCGGGGAGGGTGCTGGCTGGCCGCTCCTGTCACCCCCAGCAGCCATCTCCTTCCCCCTGGGGCTCAGCTTCCTCATCTGGAAAATGCTGGTGTAAATGGCTAATTTCAAGGCTCCTTCCCTACTTTCCCTGAGGGCCCCACGGTGGGCTGGCAGAGAGGCCTCGGACATGAGGGGCCCCAAGGCCTGGAGCGGGGAAGGGGGGCGGAGGGACTCTCCCTGTCCTGCTTCTCAGCTCCCATGACTCACTTCTGTCTTCTGAGTCAGGTAGCAAGACCACTTCCCTTTGGGGAATGTGCAAACCGGGTGACCGTCCCACGTCCCATCACTGAAAGAAGACACTTGTCAGAGCAGGGCTGGGTCATAAAGCAGGAATACCACCGGCCACCAGCTGGGAGGAAGACCACCTTCCTGAGCTGCTGCACGCTCCCCATGGGCCTTGACAGCAGGGGCAGGTGGGGTGCTCTAGAGTCACCTGATGGCCCTCTGGGGGCGGGGACGGGGGCTGAGACACGCACGTATCTGCCAGAGGGTTCCAGAGCTGAGAGGACTGGAGGCACAGGCTGTGGGAAGAAGCCTGAAGGCAGGAAGGGGTCAGGAGGAGCCAGAGCAGCTGAGCGTCCCAGGACCTGGGAAGAGCCCAGTCCCCGGGCAGTGGGGATGGGAGGGAGCCATGGTGCTGCTCTCCAGGAGGCACCCAGCCGGGGGGAGCCTTCCACTAGCTCCCAACCCCTCAAGACTGACTTCTGGGACACAGGAGGCCAGCCTGGGCAACCGCTGGAATTCCCGCTTCCTCTGTCTTGAGCCTTCTCCTCAGCCCTGCCTCCATGAGGACAGTCCTTCCACAGCTTCTCTCTGAGAGTCGCCCGCAGCAGCAGAGGGGAGGCAAAGCTCCCTGGAAGTCTGCTGTTGGAAATTCATGCCAGTTTGCATTCCACTTTATAACATGCCTCTTTTGATTTTATTTTATTTTTTATTGAGGTGAGATTCACATAACATAAAGTTAACTTTTTTATTTTATCTTAAAGATTTTATTTATTGGGATCCCTGGGTGGCGCAGCGGTTTGGCGCCTGCCTTAGGCCCAGGGCGCAATCCTGGAGACCCGGGATCGAATCCCACGTCGGGCTCCCGGTGCATGGAGCCTGCTTCTCCCTCTGCCTGTGTCTCTGCCTCTCTCTCTCTCTCTCTCTGTGTGTGACTATCATAAATAAATAAATTAATTAAAAAAAAAGATTTTATTTATTTATTCATGAGAGACACACAGAGAGAGGCAGAGACACAGGCAGAGGGAGAAGCAGGGTCCCTGCAGGAGCCCGATGTAGGACTCCATCCCAGGACCCCAGGATCACGACCTGAGCCGAAGGCAAATGCTCAACCACTGAGCCACCCAGGCACCCCTAAAGTTAACTATTTTAAAGCAAACAATTCAGTGCCATTTAGAACATTCTCAGCGTTATGCAACCATCATCACCTCGACCTAGTTCCAGAATGTTTTATCACCCCAAAAAGGAAACTCTGTACCTATGAAGCAGTGACTCTCCATTTCCTCCTCCCCTACTCTGTGTCCCTGACAGCCACAGATCTGCTTTCTGCCTCTTTGGATTCCTCTACTCGGGGCATTTCCTGTCAGTGCAGTCCTACAATGTGTGACCTTTTATGCCTGACTGCTTTTACTGAGCATGGTGTTTTTGAGGTTCACCCACACTGTAGCAGGTGTCAATGCTTTGTTCCTTTTTATGGCTGAGTAATAAGTAGTTTGTTGTATGGATCTCTTGCTCATCATCGATGGACATTTGGGTTTTTTCCACCACTTTGCTATTGCGCTGTTGTTTGTTTAGAACAGTAATGCTCTGAGTGTGTCTTCATGTACTTGTGTGAACACCTGTTTCACATGTCTCAGGTATGCCCCTAGAAGTGGAATTGCTGGGTTTCATGGTCATTCTATGTTTAACATTCTGAGGAAACATCAAATTGTTTTTGGAGTGGCCAGACCATAATGCATTCCCGCCAGCAACATCACCTGCATTTATTTTAGTATCAAAACAGCTAGAATGCATCAGTCGCTGTGGAGAAGGCCTCAGAATTATTCTATGGGTTTGGGTCTGGATCCATCCCCCCACCCCTTGCTACCACCATTTGAAAAGCAGGACCCCCAGGTAGCCCAAGCCCCTGTCTGCTAGCAGGAACTATCCCCTCACTAGGGCCACTGGGTGGTGGCTGTCTCTTGATGATGAGTCCTCTTCTCACCGGCCTGGCTGACTGAGGCCCAGGGGAACACGAACTTCCAGCTATGGAGACACTTTAGCATGAGTTCGTGACACAAAAGCTGAAGGGACAGAACCACTGGAACGCGGATGGGCAGACACATGCTGGGGCTCCGAGTAAGTGAGCAAATGAGCGCTCGCTGGTCTGTGGCTCAGGCAGGACCCAGCTCCCTGGGTGATGAGTCTCCTCTCCCCAGGGAGTGTTAATGAGGCCCTGCTTCTGGCTCTGAGGAGACCCCGTTGGGAGAGGCTGTTGGCCTCGTGAGTAAAGCTCAGCCTCTATGGAGTCAGATCTGACTTACCTGTCAGCTGGCAGAACGTAGGTGACCCATGGTGCCTGGTGTTTACTTACTCCTGAGAGACACACACAGAGAGGCAGAGACACAGGCAGAGGGAGAAGCAGGCTCCCTGAGGGGAGCCCGATGCAGGACTCGATCTCAGGACCCTGGGGTCACGACATGAGCCGAAGGCAGACGCTCAGCCACTGAGCCGCCCAGGTGCCCCTGAAAAGGTTATGCTTGCTTCCTCCACCAGCATCAGGCTCCCCTGGGATGAGCTGGGGCCACTTCTGAGCAGCTCCTCAAGAGCCGTCAGGTGGCTCCCCTTGAGGGAACATGTGCCAGGGCCATGAGTGAAGAAGACACTGCGGAGCAGAGCCACAGCCCACGTGTGATGAGAGCAGGAATGACACCTGGGGTTGCAGACCCCTGAGCCTTGAGGGTCGGCTGTCCCGGGAGGGGATCCACTCCCAGCTGGGCCCAGGGCCCTGGCACGCGGTCGCACCGGCTCCGAGGCAAGGCTGCCCCACAGCTGCCCCCGCCACCGCAGGCCCCGCGATCTTCCCAGGACAGGTGAGCAGGGCAGATGTGGCAGCAGCAGCCACTGGGCCGTGTGCCACCAGCCTCCGCGTCTTCCCAGGAGTCCGCCTGGAGCCCGTGTCCCGCCCTGGGGTTCTGATGAGGTCTGACGCCTCCTGCCTCCCCTCCTGGGGGTGCAGCTGTAGTTGGGGAGCTGGGCATGGGGTTCCCCTGGCCCTGCGGCAGTCGTCTAGCCCCTTCTGTCCGGGGTCGGCCTGCGGGGCGTGGAAGGCAGGGAGCAGGGGTCTTGCTTGGTCTCCCTCTGGCCTGTGTCTGATGAGGAATGCTGTGTGTCAGCAGCCAAACCGGCCCCTGGGCCTTGACAGTCGTGCATCGGTCACCACGGGCTCTGCAAACACGTTGTGAAGCCCTGGGACTGGCTGGTTTCACTTAGGAGGGCGGCTACAGGGAAGGCAAAGGACAGAGCCCGCTCAGCACTGGGACCGACCGGGAAGGAGGGAAGAGAACTCACTGGAAAGCAATCCCTGCCTAGCCTCCGTGACCCCACTTCATCTCCGGCCTCCGTTTTCCTGCTCAGCCCCAGAACCTCCTTGTCACCGAGACAGAGGTGGTGTCGCTCACCATGTCCCCTAAACCACCCTGACCCCCAGCACGCACTCTGTGCACAGAACAGCCTGCCTGGAGGCCTTGGGTTGGTCCCTGTGGAATGTGGCTCCAGGCTCCCCCTGCCCCTCCCTGGGCCGGTGACCCAGCATCTTTCAGAGGGTGAGTTTAAGGCAAGGCCAAGCCTTCACTAACTTCCAGCCAGCTCGACCCGGTGTGAGCACAGTGACCCAGGCGGTGCGTGCAACAGCGTGGCTCATGAGCCCTGGGGGGGATGAAGCCCTCACAGAAACTGCTAATTATAAATATCCGCGGGAGCAGGTTTCCTAGCTCCTGTCCCAGATTCTGAGGCTGCCCCTCTGCCGCCTGCCTGGTGGCTGAGATGGCAGAGCCTTTGGAGCCGAACTTTCCGCCTCTACACGGAGACCCCAGGCACGGCTCATGCATTAGCTGATCACACAGACGGTGCTGTGTGGCGGGGGGCAAGGATGTAACCTCTCTGTGCACCCTTGACCTCCTCTGTGCAGAGAGGGTCAGAATGCTGGGGAAGCCTGCTCTAAAATGGGCGATTTGTTTTTTGCTGAGATCCGATCAATCACATAGTGATGCCAACAGAACCCTGAACCCCAGGCTTAGGAGAACTTGGAGCCACCCATCTGGGCAGGGGAACAGAACTGCACGGAGGATTTATTGGGGGCAGAGCCTTGGGCAGAGCACGGGCAGGCCTTCAACACACACGCGGGGCTAGAAGTACTGTAGAAATCAGGGCTTGAATAGTCCGGAGGGCTTCCTGGAGGAGATGGT